GAAGAGAAGTTTCCAAAATCAACAAAGGCTCGACCCTGTGCGAATATAATTATTTCTTATTCGCACACCCGGTGTGAATAATATTTATTCTTATGCACACAACAGGTGTGAATAAAATTAATTGAACTTTGACGGACCCCAAGGGTGGACCGAAACAATAGTAATAAAAAACAAACAAATAAGGAAGCAAAAAAATACACACACATGAAAGCCAAACAATAACATAATAAGAGCGGACCATTGCACAGCTAGGCTCAAAAGTAGTTCTTGCTTCGTTCAGTGTTGGGTCCACCCCACAGAATTCTACCATAATATTATAATAGTGTACATCTATGGGTCCACCAAAGTTCAATTTTATCCATAGAGTTACGCCATAGTGTACATCTATGATTTTATCTCACTCAAGTTTAATTGAATTCAAATCAAAATGATACATGTAAAAAAACACAAAAAACAAAAAACAAAAACAATATAATATAATAAGTTTGTTTTGTAGTATAGTAAATTCTATTGACTTTTTTAAAACTCGTTTTTGTGGAAAGCTAAAGTTGGTACCGGTACGTCAAAGAAACTTCCGGTTCATGAGAGATCTGTTTGGAGGTCGACAAACTGAAACGATAAACATGGGGAATATGTGGTATTCCTATGTTACCAATCCGGACACGGCCCCGGACTTTAAAAGTCCTCCAACTTTCGATCCTTTGATTGGATTTCCAGAGGGCCGCCAAGAAAGAAGTAAGATTTTAATGCCAGGCCTTAGTCTGAGTAGCCTTTAGGTGTGTAACTTACTCTAATTTTAACTAGATATACTAAACTCTTTCCTCTACTCTTGTCAATGGTGAGTCTTGTCCGATCTGTCTCTTCTTTACTTTCTTTCTGCTTTGTCTGTAACTTTAACTTAAGTGCAGGGTTGAGTCTTTAGATTTTAGTGAAGTTGCAGGGCGAGAGTAGAGAGCTATTGTTTAATTAGTAATTCTGAAGGAATTCCAGTAAGATTGAACTTTGGTGAACCCGACACCCTAATTAAAAGTAATTTGACTTTGATGTTTTGCAGTTAGGTTGCATCCCTGCTCTTTGTTAATTCAAATAGTATTTGGTCTTCAAGACTTCTGGATTTCTTCTCTGAATGTAAACAAATGGATCATGGACTTTAACGAACGGAACTACAAGATCACCCAAAGCCGGACCTTACTTTTGAGCCTGGCTGTGCAATGGTCTGCTTTTACTTTTTTATTAAATTGTTTCTAGGGGCAAGCCCCCCCCCGTTCTCCCCTGAAACCCCCAACTGTTGTTATAGCTCTTGTGCTTTAATATGTAAACACAGTGGGTCCCCTGAAGTTCCATCCAGCCTCTATTATTCTCTACGACTTGCAGAACTGTTCGGTTCAGTTGTCTGTGATTTTGCAGCACCCTTCTTCTGCCTAAATTGATTCTGATGCTGTGCGCTAGGTAAACTGAGAAGAAGAAGAAGAATAGTAGGCCTACGTACGAAAGCAAGTTCATACAAAGTTCAACGACGCAGTGCAAATGGA